TAGCACCAAGCAGTTTTTTTGGAGGGATTATAATACGCACGACTTAAAATGTTACGTTTATAACCGTAGCAACAGACCTCAGATGAGCCCAGATGCTCTGCGGCTCTTGTTTCTTATCTTTTAATGATTTGTGTTACATCGCTGTACATTTCAATTTTGAAGAAATTGGTCGAGGAGAAAAAGGTGCAGCGGGAGGCACAACGAGAGGAACGCTGGGCAGAGCGCGAGAAAGAGAAGGTGGAGAAGGAGCAAGGCCGTGGAGAGGATGAAGATGGCAGCAAAGATCGTGACCGAGAGCGCGAGAAGGAGAGGGATCGCGAGAGGGGAGGTCGCGTCAAAGACAGAGGAGACCGGGACAAAGAGAGAAAACGGTGCGCACATTGTGCTTCTGCCACATACATGACATAGTAATATCACATGGTAATTAGTATAAATGTCCACTGAGTTTTTGTGAATTGTTGCTTGTATTGGGAATAAAAATGGTGAAATATGTGTTAGGGTTTCAATATTTCAATAGTCGAAAAATTCCAAATTGATTGGTTTTCTGTGGCAGCACAAATGAGATGACATCAGACAACTTCCATCAGGTCAAGCCTCGTTATAAGGCCATTGCCGCAGCTTGTGGTGGAAACTAAACACCAAGAGTGCACACTGAGGATAATTTTTGCCATTTGCAGATCTCGCAGTCGGGACAGAGGTGATCGTCACCGACGGTCAAGGTCGCGGTCAAGGTCACGGAGGACACGAAGAAAATCCCGCTCCAGGTAGTTGATGCTTCCCTATGAGCGGCGAAAGGGCAATCATTTCAGTATAATGCATTTTAAGGGAGTTTCTCGACAAATACTACTAGCGTGTCGCGGTCGGCAGCACCATGGAGGTTAGGTCAACTGTGTTCGAATGATTTTGTGAAATACATCGTGCAAGTAGCTTTTTAGCCTCATGCTGACGTACCGTCCGTCAACAGAGTTGGGCACAAATGTCTTAACCGCTCGAGTACTACAGCTCACGATATCGGGAACGTGGGGGGTAATCCGAAAACGAGTTGAGATGTCGAAGCTGGGGGTCAAGGTCAAAGGTCAAGAGTGTAAAAGAAGCGGGGAACATTCACTCCATAACTAAGGTGCGGCAAAATCTAAACGGCTCGCGCCTAGGCTTCGTGCATAGTCGGTGTATAGCCATGCATCATTCATCGGTAGGACAAAAGCCAGTCACTGTGCGAATTGGAGGTCACAGGTCCAAAGGTCAATGGGCACAGGGCCAGATTCGTTTAGACATTTTCTGAGCACTGGTCCACTGACGCGAGCGATGAAAAACTTTATTGTGTATTCAGCGGTGACCTACCATTTTATGGCATTATTGAAAGGACATGAAATCTACTTTCTGGGCTGACATGCGAAGAGTAAGTGGTCAAGATAACCTTTTCGACCCTCACAGAGTGGATGGGTTATAAACATGGATTTGTGTTGAGCCTGTCTGTTAGAGAAAGAATTTTGACTCGCGGGTTTGGCTGGATAGAGACTCGTATTATCATGCCTGCATGTATGGAGGCGATCAATGTCGAAAGGTGAAACTTTCTAAAAGCTAAATTTGCGTTAAAGAAGGTTTATGCCCTTTAAATCGGGATTTCTATGGCATTCTGTACTGTGCAGTATGTTTACATGTAAGCGTATGCCACTGCCAGTGGCTACTGCCAGTGCATGTGTTAGTGGTACTGTGTCGGTTTTTGCCTGCCGTTATATCGTGGTTACAGCGTGGCGCTCTCATATTGACAGGCCTGTTAGGCTTGCGTAGGTAAATGATGGATGCTTACCACTATTCATGTTCTGCAGGATCAGTTGTGCTACAACTGTAGATGGGAGCTTGCCATCTTTAATCTGAAGGACACTAAAACGTTCGCGTCAGCATCTCGTGCAACTTTCATAACGATTACCCAACGGAACATTTCCGTTGGAGAAGGTCCTCGATTACCATCCCGTCGTGCATTCACTGTGTTCTGGCTGTTAGTGAACACATTTGGCGACTAACAGGGATTTACTAGAATCCCCACTCCACCCCAGAGTCACCGCAGCTAGACGTTAGATGGCGCTGTCGCTGCTGCTGGCACTTGTTAGTAAAGGCATTTGGCAAGTACTGGCTGTATTATTTTTTGATCTGTCACGCAGATTTTTCCTATAGGGGCTGAGCATGCAAGTGATAGTCTGGTAAACTCCTCGGGCTTATGTGTGTATGCGCATTTGACGTGCGTCGTGCGTGCGGTGCATATGTGTGTACTATTATATGCTACGATTGCCCTTCATAGGAAAGTGTTTTCACGTCCAGCTGCCTCACACTGTAGTTGCAAACCTGTTCAAAGACTTGTCCTTAAAACTTGCTTCCTTGTATAACATTGAGTTAGTCGGCAATCACAGTCTCTGGCTGTCCTTGTGTTTTAGCCTTCTTACTCACTGTTACGCAAGAGGTACAAACAACAAAAATTCGCGAAACTCTGATGCCCGCAGCGTGGTCGCACCTTACCAGCATGCAGAGCTACGCGTCTGCGAGGTGTCGCTCCGCCTATTCTTGGTTATCCACGACAATGAACCGGCAGTCTGGAAACTGATACATTGGTTTGGTGGAAAGCTGCACCGCGGATTGATCGAGATACGGCGAGAAAGCTACGCACAAGCTGGGAGTGAAGCACGTGTGTATGTGGTCATCGCGGTGCGTGCGTGCGTGGTCGTGCGTAGCTCGTGCGTGCGTGCGTGCGTGCCGTAGCGTGCCGTGCGTGTGTGTGTGAGGAGACACCTATGGCAGTGCTGCCCTCGCAACGTTGCGGATCCTGCAATCTTCACACCTGGATTTGTTGATGTCTATGAGGTGATGTGACGCCCATAAGCAAACATCCACAAAGCCTATCCTGGAAAACTGCATTCCGGTATGTCAATGCCGTCATGGTGGATAGGTTGGATCGATATAAATCACAATATCGAGTCAGTTTTCAATACTCTAAACCCGCAGATTCGGACTACATCAGCCCATCACTGATTGTTTTAGCTCATCTGACGTAGTCAGATGCAGCTTGTAGAATCGCATGATGCGTTCCGTCCGTCCGTCAGCTCCGTCCGTTGCGTTGCCGTGCAACAGTTGGGCACAGCATCTTAAGCGCTTGAAAGGCCAGGCACGTTTATTGCGGGGCTGTTGGGGGATCCGATCGTGAAAAGGATCATGGAATGACAAATTTGGGCGGGTCAAAGGTCAAGAGCTGTTAACGCGAGGGGAAATTTCCCCTTAACCTTAAAGGTATAGGAGGAATAGGAATTGCGGCACAGAATCTTAACGGCTTTTACTATGCCTCTTAATATTCGGGTGTATAGATAGTGATGAGGCCAGATAACACCATCGACCAGTGCAAACAATTAGCGAGGGTCACAGTCAAAGGGCATGGGGAAAGGTCCAGATATCAGACACTTCCTTTCGAGGACATAGCTAACGGACAGAGGAGAAAAACCTTTTTTTGTTGGTCAGCACTGACCACCATTTTATGCACGTTTGATTGAAAGGACACATGAAATGTGCTTTTCACGTGACGTGCGAAGAAGTAAGTGCTGCTGATAACCTTTTTGTGGGGGACCTCAAAGGGGAGGGCTTAAACATCGGATGTCCTGTAACTGCTCAATGACGTGAGCAGTTGTGTAATATTCATGGACATCCATGAATTTAGAAACCCAATAACGCCGGATAGCTGAACATGTACAGGCACAGGCGTCACGGCTCAAAGGTCCGTTGATCGGCCGATTAGATTTTTATATGTATCGCATGTTTTCTGTTATTTTTTCTATCTTTATCTATTTAAATGACTACGGTACGAATATTTCGCATGGTAAAATTTGTATAAAAATAAATTCCACTTTTTCACCATTAAAGTAAAGAAACTAACGTTAACTAAATAGTTCCTCACTCTCACCTGATAAAAATGTTTGTTAGCGTTTGGATTAAAATTGCAAAAATCTAGACGATTGGTAAGGTGTTCTGTTGTCCTAACACTAACCCCCAGTAACTGTTCAGAGTACTGGCGTCTCGTCTGTTTTTCAACGAGCAAGGCAAATTAGGGGCATATAAAGAATGGTATATAAGCATGAAAAGCTAAACAGAAAACACTAATTATGTATTTTGATACATTTTATTTTGTAGCAAATAACACACAAATATATTAATTGATGGTGCTAGAAATTCGTGACGTAATGCACTTTAACTAGTTTTTTTGCCAATTATGCAAATATGTTAACATGATTTATTTACAACAATTTTGATAACGGAGACAAATAATGTTTTTACAACAATTAAATTTTCTTTACGAATTTTTAATAGAGTTAGGGTTTAGGGTGCACAATGCACATAAAGAAGGAGTATTCAGGCAAAACAGTCGGCGAGATTTGGTATCACCAATGGGGATGTGGGAGGGTGATGGCGACGGGATAAGCAGAAGGCATGCTGAATGATGTTGCGCAACTGAGGGCGTATCTGCAATATCTGCACCTAACAAAGGTGTGTCCACTCAGACTGGACGCACGGCCATTAATTTGACAATGTTATATTGCTGCATTATACTACCTATTTTGCCATTCCTTTCAATGTAAACAAACATCTGCTTCTCTTATATATAACTAATAAACATGTGCAGCGTGCAGAGGGCACTGACGGTGTCTAGTCATGAAAGTGCTCGGTTTCAATCGCATGTCATCGCGTGTTTTAGATTTCGTGTCTCGATGTAGTTTATGGCTAAACCGCTCGCACTCTGTATGATGTAAACGACGGGTGTCGGTGAGAATGGGGAGGTGCGCTGGTCATGTCCTGTAGTGGAGTAATAAGTTGTATGTGTGTGTGTGTGTTGTACAGCGACTGAATCTGGGGAGCTGTACCAAGCATCACGACCTGGCGCTAAGAGCCGACTACGAGATGGCGGCGAAGACCCGGGAATACTACTACGAGATGGACGTAAGTGGCGACTACTATATGAAGCGATATATAACGAGACGTCACTTGTTGACGTGAGATGTGTTAGTTTGAAAAATGAAAATTTTCAGGGTGTTAATTATTTCCAATATGCCAAATTAACATTGATAATGATGAATATAGTTATGCATTGCATCATATAAATGGTGTTTTTGCAGTATGTGTTATTTGATGCCTGGAGTTGTAAAGTTATCTTTCAAATGATGAAGCAAAGAAATTTAGACAGCTTAGGTCTCGCCTATTAGCCGATATAGTACTGAGTACTCCAGCATAATAATTACCACAAATTCATCCCATTATAGGCTATAAAACATCAACTGAACAGAAAACTTTCCACCGCATTCCTGAGTGTTGCAACAGTGGAAATTTGAAAATAGCACCCAAACATAAGTTCATCTGTTTTTGTGTAATTTGAAAACTGTTGCCTTTCCATTGTACTGGTGTTTATGCAATTCATAAAAACAAGCATTGCTAACCCTTACACTTCATAACTATATATATATACACATTATGCTTAATTTAATAATTAGATTCATTTATAAATAGGTCTTTGTATGCGTTAAACTATAATGGCGAGGCAATTCATTTATATTTGAGCTGACACTGAGCATGCACATGTGAGATGAAAACATCGCACAGCGGTGTCTGGGACTCTCGGGAGATAATTATGAAGGTCGTGCCATGTCAACGTTGCAACCAAGCTTGATTCAGATTTATGATGTTGCATAGATTGGTGGATATAATAAAGTATGGGCCTTCTTTGACATATTAACTTAACTACAGACACTTGCTATTATGCAATGAGTCGTGGCAAGTGTTCAAATTGTTTGGAAAAGATCGTTGCTAAATAATCTATTTAGAATAATTTATTGTATTAGATACATTTATGTAATTTATGATTCAGTATTGGATTTTTTAGGTTTCGTATTGGCACAAAATATTGCATATCACCATTAAATTGTATGTGTGCAGGCTATGGACCATTTGAAAGCATTCGTTGATGACTGTGACAAACAGACAGAGGTGGCTAAGAAGAAGTTGGCTGAAACACAAGAACAGCTCAGCGAGGAGGTCAACACAAAGGTTAGCGCACCATCATTAGCTTAAAGGAATACTTTACTCTAGAATTTGAGAGGATATTATGATAGTAGATTTATAAATAATAGCACATACCTATAAATATCTATAATTACGCATTCACGTTTGTCATAAAACAACATTGAATTTCGAAATCTTCATATTTTGGCGCTGACATGACACCCGCGACCGTGCTGCCACCCTGAAAAAGTTGCGTATTTACTCATTTATTTTGCACGTTACAGACCGAGGGCTAATCACAAAGGTGCAATTATATTTATACCTAAATGCTATTTAACCGAACGATATTCATTTTAGGACAAACTTATCCATAATATAACTGAAACTATATGTCGTTTATAAGATATTACAATCCTTCTGCTTTTAAATTAATAAATAAGAAACACCCTCGGTCTGTAGCCCTTCCTTGGCTGAAAAGTCTGTTTGTGCAACTTTTCAGATAGTGCGCTTTGAGTGGCGCCACCATCGTTGTAATCGAACTGTAGTCGTTGGCTTTAAAACATAAAAAAAAAATTCTAATGGTGATTGGACCATGAAATTTTTATTGTAACGTAATTTTAACCTAAATTAACTGAAAATAACCCTAGAACCTAGAGTCAAGTATTCCTTTAAATACTTTTTGGGCATGTCTGCCGTAACGCTGTGGCATTGATATTTCTGTACATAGTGTTCTCTCTGCTTTCCGTGCACATGGAATATACGGAGGCATCCTGTCCGTAGTCGGCCTCTCATTCGCTTGTCTTCTTCAGCTGGAGAAGGTTCATGAGATGGCGGAGTCGATCGGTAAGACGCTGGCCAGGGCAGAGCAGCTGGGCGCCGAGGGCAACGTCGACGAGTCGCTGAAGATGATGGAGGAGGTCGAGCAGCTGAAGAAGAAGAAGTACGAAGCTGAGGTAGGTGCGGCGGCGGCGCACTGCCGAGCGGCTTGTCAGTCATGATCGCACACGTTCGTAAGAGGAACACTGAAGGTGCTCATGGAGGGTTAGGTAAAATTGTCGAATGATTTTGTTGAAATGCATCGTGCAATAGTTTTTAGTAAAGCATTTTGGCAAGTAATGTGTATTTTTCTTGATCTGTCACGCAGTTTTCCTATAGGGTGAGCATCAATATATCTGTAAACTCGGGCATTATGTGTGTATGCGCGTGCGTGCGTGCGTGCATGTGTGTATATATATGTAGATTGCCCTTCATGGAAAGTTTTCACTTCACTGCCTCACACTGCAGTTGAACCTGTTGCTCAGTAATGTCCTTAGAAACTTGCTTCCTTGTATAACATTGATGTAGTGCAATCAACAGTCTCTGGCTGTCCTTGTGTTTAGCCTTTCTTACTGTTACAGCAAGAGTACCGAAACTCGATGCCGGCGTCCACCTATCAGCAGCAGAAGCTACGCGTCTGCGAGGTGTGCTCCGCCTATCTTGGTATCCACGACAATGACCGGCGTCTGGCTGATCATTTTGGTGGGAAGCTGCACCTGGGATTCATCGAGATCAGGGAGAAACTAGCAAAGCTGGAGGTGAGCACGTGTGCGTCCGTGCGTGCGTGCGTGCGTGTGTGTGTGCGTGCGTGTGTGTGTGCGTGCGTGCGTGCGTGCGTGCGTGTGTGTGTGTGTGAGAGAACTATGGCAGTGTGCTGCAATTGGGATCTGCAACTTCACACCTGGAAATGTTGATGTCAATAGGTGAGGCGACGCATAGCAACATCACACAAACAGCTATCCTGGAAAACTGCATTCCGTATGTCATGCTGTCACTGTGGATAAGTTGGATCGATATAAATCACATATCGAGTCAGTTTAATATCTAACCGATTCGCTTACATCAGCTCACTGATTTTGAGCTCATCTGGCGTAGTCAGATGCAGCTTGTATAATCGCATGATCGTGCGTCCGTCCGTCCGTTGGGCACAAATCTTAACCGCTTGAAGCACGGTCACGATATTCGGGACGTCGGGGGATCCGATCGTGAAAAGGACTCAGGATGACAAATTTGGGGGTCAAGGGTCAAAGGTCAAGATGTGTAAACGGAGGGGGAATATTTCCCCCTTAACTTAAGGTATAGGAGGAAATACGGAATTGCGGCACAAATCTTAACGGCTCTACCTATGCTCTTAATATTCGGTGTATATAATAGTGTGATGGGCAGGAAACCCA